TTTGGTTTTTCTCAGGTACCGAGAACTGAACTCATGACCTTGCACTTGCCAGGCAGGCGCTTTGCCCCTGAGCTAAATCCCCAGCCCCAGCCAGTCCTTTTTAAATTTTTTTTTTTTTGTCTTTTTGAGACAGGGTCTCGCTATGCAGTTCAAGCTGACCTTGAGCTCACTTTGTAGCCCAGGCTGGCCTTGAACTCACAATGATCCTCTTGTCTCAGCCTCCCAAGTGCTGGGATTACAGGCGTGCGCCACCATGCCCGCCTGAGCCTCCCAAGTGCTGGGATACAGGTGTGCGCCACCACGCCTGCCCGGCTTAAATTTTTTTTTAATGCAACCTACAGGCCCTGAGAGGGTGGGGGTGGTCCTCTACACCCACACCCTCTGCATGCCTTTCTCTTGCACAGGCTCAGAATGAATAGCTCCCTGCTGAATCACTTAGCCAAACCTAGACTCCCCAAGTTGACACAAGATTCAATCCTAACAGTCCATCCCTTGTCAACTTGGTAATCAGACACATTTTTTTAAACCAGTTTTTAGATATAAAGACATGCTTATAATTATGCCTAACATGTTATAACTATCCTATGTATAAACCTAAATGCACTAATTTCCTCACCAAAATAGAAGGTAAGTTTTTTTGGGGTGATGCTTATTTTTATCATTTTACAACTTGGACATTATAACACAGTTTAACAATCCTTAAGGAACAGTATTAAGTCTATCAACATTATACTATATTAGAACCATATTAGGGGAGAAATAATACAATTATAATCCTCTTTTTTGTAGCTGATCGTGGGGTCATAGCTGGTATTTAGAACTACCTTTTTTATTACCCATTTTGTATTTTTTTGACCTTTAGCAAGCACCTCAGCAGGTGTTGGTTTTTTCCCTGGTGGAGTGAACCATGTCTTTATTTTGTGAGGCTCTGGCCCATTTGTTATTGCGCCTATATTGATTTTAATAAGAGGGCATGGTAATACTAAGAGGCCCCCTAAGGGATCTCCTGCACTCTACATGTGTTTTTCCTTTTCTCCATTGTGGAGTAGTAGTCTAATTTTTCTTTGATAATCTAGGTCAGTTACTCCTGACAACACTGTGACTCCCTTTTTAGCTTGTTTCCTCAGCAGCATGAAGAGACCAAAATGACCACAGGGAAATCTTAGCTTTGGGTTTCATGGTATCATTGTTGTGCTTCCTGGTACAAGCCTTCCCTCCTCTGGAACTAAAGACTTCTCAGCCAGCAGAACATAAGGTTGTGGGGACAGGAAGCAGAAATTTTGCTAATGGGTCACTAGGAGTAATGGTGAGTGGTATGACAATTTAACTTCTTTTTTTCCTATCCTTATTCCTTTTATTTCTTTTTCTTGTCTAATTGCTCTGGCTAATGTTGCCAGAACTGTCTTGAATAGGAGTGGTGACAGTGGACATCCTTGTCTTGCTCCTGATTTTAGAGTGAAAGCTTTTAGTTTTTGACCATTTAGTATAATGTTGGTTTTTGGTTTGCCATAGATAGCTTTTATCAGATTGAGATAAGGACAATCTGTTTTAACTTTCTGTAGGCTTTTTATCATGAATGGATGTTGGATTTTGTCAAATGTTTTTCTGCATCTATTGAGAGGATCATGTGATTTTTGTCTTTAGCTCCATTGATATGGTGTATTACACTTATTGATTCGTGTATGTTGAGCCATCCCTGCATCCCTGCATCCCTGCGATGAATCCTACTTGGTCATGTGTATAATCTTCTTGATGATTACCAACATTGTTTACCAGTATTTTATGGAGGATTTTTGTGTCTGTGTTCATTAGGGAGATTGGCCTTTAGTTTTCTTTGTTGGATCAGTCCTTCTCTGGTTTGGAATCAGGGTAATGTTTGCTTCCAGGAATGATTTTGGGAGTATTGCTTTCTTTCAATTTCATTAAAGAGTTTCAGCAGTAGTGGCATTAGATCTTCTCTAAATTTTTTATAGAATTCAGCAGTGAATTTATCAGGACCTGGGTTTTTTTTGCTGGTAAGTTTTTAATTACATTTTCAATTTCATTGACTGATATTGGGTTATTGTAGAGAAAGACATTCTATAGATTACCTTTCAATGTACTACCTATGTGGGACTTTGAGCCTGACCGAGCCATATGATTGTTTGATTCTGGGGGAAGTCTAGCAGAAGTATTAGTGTAAAAGCAAATGATAGCAGGACCTGTGTCCCTGTGGAAACCACTGGGACAACACTAGATGCTTTGCTGAGATATGCCCGAAGGAACGATAACATGATGGCTAACTAAGTCAAGTCTCATTCCTGTGATAATTAAGTTGTATTGTCCTTGCTAACCCTGTTAATTATTCTTCCCATTTGCCCTGTTGCTGCTTTTGTTCTTTCTCAATAAGAGGTTATGGAAAATGGTAATTGAGGCTTCAGTCAGAGAGGCTGTGGCCCCCTGATCCCATAGCTTTCTCTCTCTTGTTTTTCTTT